AATTATAGAAAACTTAGTTCTCTGAAGTGGAGAACCTCGCTCAGGGTTTAATAGGGACAAAATCCAGACCTCACAAATAGCCTGTGGCAGACAGCCACCACGTGAGAGTCATTCAGATTGTTGTCTCAGAACAAGAATCCCTGAGGAACTAACAGTACTTGAAAAAGACATAAAACCAGAGTTTGAGATAAAAACACATGCCACCCTCAAGAAGCCATTATTTATCCTTTTTCTCTCCATTCCTGACCACAGTGTCTTGAAAGAAAAGTATGAGCAGAGGGAAAAGGGATTTAAAAAGCTGTACACAACAGTGTTCTGGGGRAAAAGCAAAAGTCACAAACACATCCCTGTATCTCAAGACACAGCCTATTGCCTTCAAATGCTTAAAAGTACTGCCTARTTTTAGCTGTAGGAGGACTTTTAATTCCCTTCGAGATTAACCCTATAAATCCACTGTTCACACTAGTGAAGCTGTATATGTGAAATTCACTCTTGCAATATAATAGGAAGCACAATCCTTACAAAAGGAGCTACAAGAATCAAAGATTAAGTTAGGCCAAAGGTATACTTGCCATTGCAGGCCACTGGACAGGAGACATAGCACTGGCATGAGATCTTCTTTCAGCAAGTACCAGTTTTTGCTCTACCAAGAATGCTTTCATTTTATGGCTGTAGACTTCTATCCATCTTCTTTTCTCCCATGGCTCATCATCAAATTCTACACAAACCTATAAAAATGGAGCAAAAGGAAGGAATAACTAACCACAATATTTAAATGCATTCAGGAGCGAAGGATTAATAAACCCTAAATAATTTTAGGATTTAAATAATTTTCTGAAAGTGCTTTTCAATAATTTTTAAATTTGCTTACAACAAAGTATGATTATTGCCTGTCACATAATTAAACAATCACCAAACCATTTTAAGCCACCCAAATATTTTGTAAGTTACAGTCTATGTTAGCTGTTTATGCATCATTCCCATTGCATAAAATGTGTCATTATTCCCATCTAAACTCTTATCACCTTCCCATCTCCTCCACTGTAAAAGGAYAGTAAATCTGTTAGCTTTGCCACTAGTGTTTACTATCAAACGGAGGAGGAAGAAAAAAAAACAATAATGATCAAACTGCCATAATACCAGAAGAACTTTAAGACTTCGTACCATAGCAGTACAAACATTTTTCCAAAGACTTCTTGCAGTACTTGAATATACAAACCATTTATCAGGAACATTAAGGGATAACAGTTCCAAAAGGCAACCATAGTTCCTTTATTGAAAGCACAGATGACAAGAAACCAGAGAAGGAGATTAAATTATGTATGAAGGCCCCTTGCTGCCTGTTTTAAACCGGTCTGTAACTTGACAAATCTCCGATGCGCACCCACAAACTTTTGAAGGGTAGAGAAGCTGTGGCTATTGATGGCTTGACCAATTCATTTGGGATGGCATTACCCCTCCTTCACAGGCAACATGAAGAGATAAGGAAAGGATTAAAAAYCACCACGACCACCACAATCACTTTGTGTGAACACATGGAGTGACTTGTTACAGAACACTGTAGAACGTCTCATCAGAATGGTCTCCTTTTTCCCATAAAACATCACTATATGGTCTAAGCGTAACACATTTAATAGAGTTTCTCCAGGGTAAGTTAGTTAAGTGAATCTCAGAAACACTCCCTTGTGTCACACTTCCCTCTCTGCAGGGAGAGGTAGGCAAACATGCATACACAAACAGAACTGCATTACTACAGACAGAGAGTCATAAAACCTAATGGATGTTCGAGTGAACTCAGTCATTTTGAAAGTCACTGAAACAATGAAGGAGATAAGCAAATAGCGCCAAGTATCAGAACCAGAATGGTTTGTTTTGCCTGTAGTAGCAACACTGCACATACAAGAAAATGCAGTTGAGAAAACACTTTCAAATGCATTTGGTTTTGGTTTCTGCAGCTTGTTTCTGATGCTACATAAAGGCATGATTTCAAAGAATAGGCACCTCTTCTTGAGTCTTGTTCTGAGCATCCCTATTTTGAGTCTTGCTGTACACAACCCTTCCACAGAGCTGTGAGGCGGGACACATTTCCATGCAGGAGCTCTTTATGCTTGGCTGTCTACTTGGCAACCTAATACTTTTCCAGAGGAAGGCATTAAGCTAATCTATTCTAGCAGAACCGTAGCCACGTATGAAGCTCAYGGTAAAGCACTGCAAAGTCCTCAGCTGCACCTAGGTGCCACGGAAGGTGCCTGAGAAGGTCCTTGGGATGGTTCTGCAGGACATCCTCCTCCTCCTCCTGACCCTAAGGCAGGCACAGGGCAAAGCTCTACCTCGACCACACACACTCGGCCTCCAGGACTCCGAAACACAGTCTGAAGTTCACACATTTGGCAAAGAGTTGGAAATATGTTAGACTTCTCCTTTGAAAAGCAAACTGTGCTTGCCCAGTTAATTTGGGCCCACGGAGTGTTTCCTGTCCTGTTTTAAGCCATGGGTTCTGTTCTTGCTGCCATGTTAGCTGTCTACCATCAAAGTTGCACATTAAACAAATGCAACAGGTCCCTACAACAAGACTCCATCACTGCAATCAAGTTCTGGTCTCTGCAAATAGCTCTGCTTAGTACAGGGGTTGTTTAAACAGGGCTGAAGAGTTTTACTGGCCCAGGAGGCCATTAAGGGTTTCACAGCCCATGCTGAAACCTCCCAATTTCCACCCAAAACAGAGTTAATCACAGTAAGTTTGCAGCAGTTGATTATGCATACAAAGGAATCCTGGGCGATTATTATTAAAAAGCAGCCAGGACACAWGGGGAGTTTGGGAAGCCTCCGGCAGCGTGCAGGAACATGACGAGTCCGCAGCACTGCCTGCRGACAAAAGAGAGGCTTCTTTATCGCTTGCTGCAGCCCAGGCCAAGGAACAACAGCAAGAAAAATAACCGAGCGCATCCGAACATGAACGTCTCCGCTTCGTAACGCGCCGCAGCCTCCGGAGGGGGGAAAAAAAGAAGTGATTCATCAAAATGGTTCTCAAGAGAAACGCAAAAACAAAACTGAAGTGGTCCTGGCAGACAGGACTGCTAAACTTTCCCCTGGAAAAGCGCCGGTGGGAACCACTGATCTGCGCCTCCGTGGGGGTAACTTTGGCCTCAGCACAAGCACGGGGGTTCACCCMGGGGGCACGCGGGGCTTCAAGCAGTGGCGCCGAGCGAGCTGAGCCCTCTCTTCCCGAATTTTCTCACCAAAAAATGAGAAATTACACGTAAACAAATATATTTATGGAAAGCGCCTGCGTAGGAGGGCGGCGGTTACCTTGAGGTCCTGCTTGGAGATGTCGGTGTGCGAGACGGCGCGGATGCGGCCCGACTTCCAGGGCCACTCGGCGACGCAGCCGCTGTGCCAGGGCCCGGCGCCCTCCTCCTCGGCCAGGCTGAGGAAGCGCTTGCCCACGAGCAGCGACCAGCTGCCCTCGAGCCGCAGCACCATCCTCACTCATGGGGGAGCCCTCTGAGGAGGGGGGAAACCGCCAGATACGGAAAAATATATATATAATATATTAAAAAAATAATAAATCCGGTTTGATCGAGAGCGGAGTCGAACGAGGGAGCGACGCAGCCCCGGGGCCGCTCCGCGACGCTCCTCCGCCCGCGGCTGCGTTAATTATTGCCTCGGCGGGGGCGGAGGAAGCGGCGGCCGCTTCTCCTCGGCCGCTGCCCCCCAACGGTCCCTTTGTTGCCGCCGAGGCGAAGTGGCCGGCGGGGAAGGCGGCGGRGCCGTTCGGACGCCCCTGCGCTCCGCAGACGCCTCCCCGCGGGCCTCGCCGGCTTCCCGCGCTGCGCTGCGCTGCGCTCCCTCGCCCGCGCGCGGGCCGCGGCTCCGCAGCTCCCCTCGGCACCGGCCGCGCCGCGCAGCCCGCTGCTACCGCGGCCGCGCCGCCTCACGCGCACACACCCCCCCGCGCGCCCCGCCCCCGCCGCGCCTCCTATTGGCTCCCTCTGGGCGGCAAGGCGGGGCACACGGTAAGCCTACCGCTGCGATTGGCTACAGGGGCGGGGCCCGCGCTCTAAATCCCGCCCCTAAGCTCTCGCTCGGCAGATGTCGGCTCACAAGAAGTATCCTTCCGCAGAGCGCCGCTGAGAAAAAGTCCCTCTCCCAATCCGCCGCGAAGACCTCAAGGAGGGAGTCTAAGGGAGCAGTAAACATTCTATAGGGTACAGCGTGCCGTTAAGTTTGCACTTCCTCCTCTAGTGCCCAGACCTAAGATAGATGAGCTGTCTATGGGGCCGGCGGAAGGATCCGACGGAGGCAGGAGGTGTGAGGCGGCCACTTATACGTGCGGTTCGCGGCGTACTCAGATATAGCACAGGGGGAGGGGGCACCTGCGGGCGCTTCTGCGCAGGCGCGCGGCGGCGAGATGCACCTGCGGGGGCGCTGCGGGCCGCCTTCTGCGCGTGCGCACTCGCCGCCGCGCCGGACACCTGCTCGGGGCCCGCTCTGCGCGTGCGCACTGKGGGTGCCGAGGACGACGAGGCGGAAGTGTCTGCGGGGCCGCCATCTTGTCTGGTGGCGTTGGAGGCTGAGGGGAGGCAGCAACACGCAGCTCCTGCGGCCGGAGACGTCGCAAGGGGATCCAGTGATGTGTCCTGGATGTATGTTAGGAATACACGAGGCTTGGGAGAAGTTCTGGTCGTAGYTGAAGGTTTCTTTATCATTATATCTTCTGGCAAGGGGCTTCTGCCACATGACCTTCCTCCATTTTCTTCCTCCAAGACCTGAATGTTGTTCTTATGTAACACTGTGGCCAATGTAGTTTATCTCTTCTGTCCTTTTGTGGAGAAATCAGCAGTGAACTATCCTGCAGCAACCCTGCAAGACCCAAATACATACCTCCTACCACTAGATTTTCTGTGGGAGGAAAGAGATTAAAAAGAGGGAAAGTACTCAAGTTAATGAGTCATCTGGTTTACTGTAAACTGTGGGTCTTCTTTTGACAGCTCTCCTAGGGCTCGGCTCATCACTGAAGAGCTCTGAGGTCCAGAAATCCCCTTTTATCGGTGGCAGCAGCTCAGCCCTGCTCTGAGGGCCATCTTCTGATGCCTTCCAAGTATCATATAGTATTTTCAACAGGAGAAGAAGAGAAAAAAAGAGTGTAGTTGTATAGATAATAGAAAATAGTCTAGTAGATCATCAGCTACACGAAGCCCTGAGAGATACTTATTAGAAAGCACTGAATGGAAAAACTCGTAAGTTTTCTTCTCCAATGTAAGAACAAATGTAAAATTCTAGCAGATATGGTGGAAATACAAAGCTGAAATTAAGATGTATTTTGTATAAATTACCTTTTAAATTATTTCATTGTAGGAATTACTAATGTAACAGTTGCTGCACCACATTTTATATACAATGTATTATATACATTGTTGTACAATGTAGATATACTACACCTCCTGATTCAAAGTCCTTTCATTTTATGCTTACAAAGCAGTTTGTCTCAAAGGACAGTTGGTTAATACATAAAGAAACAGGTGTGTTAGGCAGMAAGGAAATAATAGTAGTGCAGGAGATAATACTGGTGATAGCACTGGCTAAGAGTRAAAAAAAAAATATGTACTGTAATTAAAGTTTTAAGTTGTGAAGGTGGATTTGAAAAATAGCAGAGAGTCTTTTATGAATGACCAACTTTCCCACACAAAGAGTACCATGAAATCTGATTAAGGGGTGATGTTTGGGAATTGACTCATTTTTTGGATAGATATGAAACCTCAGAGTCTGAGAAAATGGGGTTAAGCGTTAGAAGATCAAGTATGGGATGGTGGCCAGGGGTAATGTAGTCCATGAATAACCTTGAAAATGAAAATAGACTCATATTTGAAATGATAGGTAAAAGAGGCAATAGCAGGATGCAAAGAAAAAATTAAATGATCAAAGTGCTGGGCAGCAAAAGTGATCTTTGAAGCAGCAACATGAATGTAAATGAAATAAAATACATTAGCAAAGGTCAGAAAAGATGATGACAATGCAGGTAAAGTGCTATTTGAGGAGAATCTGGACAAAAAAAAAAAGTATTCAATGTATAAACAGCAGCTTTCAATTTATTAAGGAGGAATTTGAGGCCAAGGATGGGAAGTTGAAGCCAGTTGATCTTTTTTTGATTTGCTTTTCAAAGGAAGATAATTATTTAGCTCCTTAAGAAGCTAAAAAATGAGTTAACCAGGGAAGTCCTGTCTCAAGAAGTCAAAGAATCATAGCATTAAGCTGTGGATTTACACATTTATGAATTAGTTGTATAACTTTACAGGAAATATAATTCCAATCCACCTGGCCAGAATTTTAACCTTACACTTAGGTGGAGATTTTTTTTTTTTTTTTTTTTTTTTCCTTTTTTTTTTTTCTGCCTGTGTATTTTCATCACCACTCAAAATAGCATCCACAGGAGCTTATGTCTGCCAGGAAAATTATGTGTTTTTCTGTGCGTGTGGGCGCCTTAGTTCACACGTACTCACTTTGTGTCAATAGGAAGAAATATTGTTGTGTTCAGAAATAGCTTTCGGACAAGCTAACTCTAAGGTAATGACATAGATAKGAGTACCTCGCTCTGGACTATACACATACAAATCTACTATATGGTTGTGCTGCACATACCCACACATATATATATATATAAAATATAGGTTATATGTAAGTGTATATATACCCCTGGATACACACATGATATTTAATATCCCTTTTTAATGCMTATGGCTTTACTCTCCTACCTTCAAATATCTTCTTCACAGATAATTTTCTAACTTAGTGTTTTGATCACATTATTCTTTCTTTGCAGCTCAAGAACAAAATGCTATTAAAGCTCCCTGCAAAACAAACTGTTCTGTAAATACATGGAATTGCGATTAAACTACAAGGCAGCATATTTCAACCTGTTCTACTGCCTGCAAGGAATCTTGTACATAWTTTTTATAGCCAGCTTTACTGACTAGGATGAAATGCTAATAAGTAAGCCTTTAGCTCCTACTTGTAAAAGAGGTAATCTCTGTAAGCAGGTGTTCTTCAAAGTAACTGTAGAATGTACCTGAATAAATCCTTCATTTTAATTAYCATTTAGTAAGTGACAAAAACATTTCTCATGTTGTTCTTAATATTTCTAGTTAAAAACAAAACAAAACAAAAAAAACCTAAGAGTCTTTAGATGCAGAGAGATTTGTTTTAACACTACATGCARTGAAACTTTTCAATATGCCTTTTTTATAACTTAAAGTTATAAGTGGCTAAAAAAATCCACRTTCATGAATTTAAGCCTATTTCTCCATATATAAAATGCAGAGGTGCTATTCAAGTCTTCGTGTCTGAAAACTGGGTTCTTACTGTCATAAAATAGTTGATATCAYCAATCAGGCAGGCAGTTTGCAAGAAGGGGATTTTTTTATTATTAAAAGTAGGGCAGATAGCTAACATTAAATATCAAGGCACGCTCTTCTTGGAAGACACGTTCTCTGATAACTTTGAGCAAATGATTATGCTGGGCTCTTCTGCAGGGGACTTTTCCTTTCCTAGCTGTCAATTAATAAGACTTAGAGTTGATATCATCTAACTGTAGAAACAGGAATTTCTGAGAGAAGTTTTACAATAATGTCAGGGTAGGGTGTTAAGTGATAATTGACTATTAACATTTAACAATTTAATTATTTAACTGGATGTTAATTTTTTGTCTAGGGGTTGGGGTTAGATATTGAAATTTGCAGATTAATGGTAAAGTTAAGGTAAACCCTTAAAGAATAATCATGGACAAATCTTCAATATCAAATATAGTTAGTAAATACAAAATGATTTCGTTTTTCTTTGCCTTTTCCAGATGGAGAAGGCCTATTTTGGAATAAAAGAAAAAAAAAAGCTCCTTTCTTGCAAATAATAATTCAAAGCGTTAATGACAACATTCTTAAAGAGAGCAAATCCATATTATCTTGATGCATAAAGTTGAATCAAGTCTCAGGGACCACCAGCACAGTAGTACCTTATTAATAGTGGCACCCATGTGAAAAGAGCCACAGAGGGCAGAGTAAAGCTATTCAGTAAATTTTAAACAACTTTATTTAGCAATCTGAGGAAAAATGTTCCTTGTTAATTAGCTTTATCTCCAAAAGCCTCAGGGTAAACTGAAAGCATGTTGTGTTCTTCGTGTTGTGTGACTCTATAATGTCGAGCCTCCTTAATCATTAAAATAACATAACCTGGATTTGGCAAAGGCCAGGTAGCCATTATTTCATTCCATTCCCGAGCCAGAGAGGTGCTTAAGCTGTATTACGAAAGGCTTCCGGATGTCTGCTTTAGTTTTAAACAAATTTGTCTAGTGATTGAGCTTCTTCTCTTGGAGAGAACTGATTCGTTTCTCTACAAGAGTTGACAGGAAGTTCCTGCAACTCTKGCTCACGGGCTTGTATAGCCAGATATCAAGCCAGTGAATCCTCTTCTGTTTGATAGAAATTTTCTTATTTTTGAATTTGTCTGCTACATACCTTCTAGGATAATTTTGACAAAATTTGCAGCACTGTAGGGTGGTTTTTTGTATGTTTGTTTCTTCTATATTCTGTTGGAAGTATTTGAAGTTCTTGGTAACATTTTCWGCCTTCATAATTTGATCTAACATTTTTGACAAAGCAGTGAACGCATGGAGAAGTAGTGAATATTGTGGATTACAGATGTGTACAATTGGAAAAGAACTTTTGTTGTTCTCCAATGTGTTTATACTAAAAAAAAAAAAAAAAAAAAAGAAAAAAAAGAAAAAAAAAAGAAAAAAAAAAAGGTTCAACCTTTTGACTCGGATGTGAATAGACACTCGGGTAGTTTTTTTGCACTTGAGTCTTACGCTGTGCACTGAAAATCCTTCTGCTCCCAGAGATAATGTTGGCCTCCTGATTCTGTTTCTTTTGTCCTACCTCTTATTACCTATCCCTTGAATTGGAACAATAGGCAGTTAGTGGAAAACACTGTGTGTTTTACACACTAGCACAGTAACTCAGACTCTGGTAGGGGAAATAAGCAATCTTTTAATGTCGAGTCAGATATGAATTTTTTTTCCTCTAGTTTCATTCTGCATTTCTGCATACAATGTTGATGGAGCTAAGGTAGTGCTTTTAGCTTTGGTATCACTAAAAACACTTAAAATCATAGATATTGCTGAATATAGAARAATCAGGAATATTTTAAAATTGTATGTTCCTAAAATGTGACCTAGTTGGTATAGCACAGAACTGGGAAACAGATCTGGAATTTAACACCAAGTGTGTCATTAGGGATGTAATTTAATTCACCTAATTTCTCTGTAAGATGGGGATAAGTATAATCATTATGAATTGCTTTGTGTTGTGCACCTGAAAGATGATGAGTATTCTAGCTACTAATTAAATATTATTTTAATCCTCAAATTTCCTTTTCCTTTTAAACTTTAATAAGAGTGGGTGCTCTCTGATGCAAGACATGTAAAAAATATGACTGTGAAGAAGCTGCTAAGATTTTTTTTCCCAGAAGATGATTAATATTAAATTGGGATTAAATGAGTCATCCAATTCAGAAATGGGGACAATGCAAGATAGAATATGTAAGCAAGAGTAGGGATTTTGAGTAAAATATACTCAAAGCAAAATCAAAGTAGCTGACACTCCTGTGCCTTCAAACTAGCTTCCACCTTTCCTGTACTTTCAATCCAAAAAGAGAAGTAGGTATTGGGATTTCTCAGCAGATTAGCTGGGGAGAGTAAGAAGCAACAGTAGCATTTTAAAGAGTAGATACAGATTCTAGTTAGAAACAAATTGTTGCAATTCTTTCAGTTTCATCTCTGTTGCCACTTTTTGAGGCTTCTTTCTCTTTCCCATCAGCCCAGCAAGGGGAAGAATGGACAGTCCTAAGATATGCTTCCTGGTATTTATCCATAGAAGACAGGTGAGTAATTTCCTACACTTCTGTGTTGAGCTCTCCTACTGAATTATGTGCCAGCTAAACTAACAGTGTCTTTTGCCTGAATTTCCCTCTTCACAACTGCCAAAGGTTAGCAGCTGTCCTCTGAACTCTAGATTTTGGCAGTAGAGWTTTATGTCGGAAATCAGAACAGCAGTTTTAAAGCAAAATCCTGATTCCAGTGTTACCCACTGATCCTGTGCTAAGACAGTCTTTTACTGAAAAAGGGAATGCAAACTATCTTGTCTGTCGTGTGTCTTGAAAAGAACATGAAGAGACTCTCTTTCTCGTATCTAACACACTTAATATCACAATTATATAACTGCAAGTCTCAAAAAAAAAAAAAAAAAGGAAACTACATTTCCCATATTTCCTTCTTTGTAGGAGAAGCATAGATTTTGTAGAAGAAGCATAGTTTTGTAGAGGACATAGATTTCTAGGGCTTCTTACTCTTATTTCCTATGCACCAAACATCACAGAAGCATAAAATTTACAGCACTAGTTTTCTAATGAGCACATTAGAGACACCTTCAAGTTACTCCAGGTTGTCCTCTGTTGTGCCACAAGCTTGAGCAGTTAAAGAGTGAGGGGAAGCCTAAAACTTGCATGCCTGCCTTGGGACAACCTGAGAWGTATTTCTCTCAGTAGGAAAATATTTTAAGTGATTGAAGATAATTGATAAAGTTGAAGGGTATTTTTATAAATGAAGTRTTAGGGAAAAAATAAGCAGATCATTGTAGGACTCTGAATTTTAGAGAGTATGACTGCATGTTGGATGTTACCTTTCCTGTCATGCAAAACTGAGATGATCRGTAGTTACACATCTGATTGCAATAGGCATGCGATGTGTCTTACTTTGTTAAAACATATAGGTCACAAGTTGCCATTACAAAGAGAAGACATTTAATGAATTTCATCTACCAGCAAGCAGCTAGTTGTCTAGGATTACTCTGTAGGGAACGAAGACAAGCACCTCCAGAAGGAGATTCATACTAAAATAAGCATCTAAAATAAGTGGGACAAGTTGTCCCGTAGAGGTGACTGTTTCTCTCCATTTACTGTCAAGGTCCTTGATTATTGACTTAAACTCAACCCTTTAACTTTCAGAGTAAATGTTGACCTTGATACGAGTACAAGGTGGGATGAAATATTTCCTTGCACTTTGATTTAGTCATTATTGTTCAATTTAAGTAGGTCTTGAAACATATTTTTCTTAAGTGAAAGATACTTCAAATGAATATTAATATGAAGCACTGAGCTAATAAGCAATAAGTGTATATTTAACTTTCACCAGTTTTCAGTGATAAAGATGGCCTTATGCATATTAGAAGAATGATCTCTAAAGACAAGGGTCGCAGGCATCTGTTGTGGCCATACATGCTCTTCTGAGAAGGAAAAAGAAAGTAAAGACTTTATTCTTAAAGTTCATTATTTTATTAGAATAAACATATCTACTGTTTTTACACAAAAACTGAAAAATAATCCTTTACAAACATAAACTATAAAAGACATCAGCTAAATCACAAATGTATCAGAATGCTTTCACTTGATTGTTGCTTAGCACACTGTTCTAGACATGGTACACCCCAARGGAAAGGATGATCATTCTCCTGGGTTTACTATCTTAACATACATATATATGTTCTCCAAATCTGTTTTGYAGACTCTTTCAAAAGCAACAAAATTGAGTAGTGAAAATGGTAGCTTAATCAGCAATGCAACTTGTTCTATATATGCAGACCACTAATATAGTCAACCAGGATGTGCAGTAATTGTTATGAATTTGTATCTCAGGAAATGTGATGGAGCACAAGGAGAGGAATACTGGGCCTGGTTCATTGTGTGGACCTGGCTATATTACTTAATCTCTTTACACTTAAATTTCCCTGTCAGGATAACAAATATTTAACCACCTGTAAAAAGCACCCACTGTCCTTCAGAGAAGTGCTGAATAAACACAAAGCAGTGTTACCAGCAGCAGCAGATAATCCTGTTAATCTAACACGCTCCCTATGGGTATGTAGAATATGTTCCATACCACTTGTTCCTTATGGCTAGATCAACAAAGGTAATTACAGAGATTAACTCTTAAGAAATGGCTGCTGCTGCCCACCATGAATATTTCTCACCATTCTAAAGCATGGCTTGAAAAATCCTCCTGACAGAGTGAGTAGAAGGAATGGACTAGACTTCTGCAGAATCAACTTTCATTCCAAAGAACAATGTCTTGAMCTACTGGTTACAAGTAAGAAGTTTGCAGCATAAAATGATGCACAGTTGCCTGATAGTTGCTGCACTGCTGGCACCAGAGAGGACGACTTCAATGCTGAGGCAGCTTCTGGTCTCCACAGCAGTCCTGCAGAGCTGTTGTATGGTGAGAAGCTCATATCCTGCAACACTGTAACATCATCTGCCCACTATTGTATAAAATGTTAGCTGGGGAAAAGACTCTTCCCAGCCTAATGTACCTTCAGAGCTGGYCATGCCTTGAGCAAGGGGTTGAACCTCCAGAGGCTACTTGCCACCTAAATTATTATGTGATCCAAAAACACTCTGGTGTAGCCTCAGTAGCCCAGAGCTCAGCAGGAATCTTGGATCCTGAGGACACACTCATGTAGCTGCCTCACAGGAAGGTCTGTGTTGCTGTAGCAACACCTCTGTCAGTGCCCAAAGTGGTTTCAGGCTAGTTCTGGTAGGATCTCTGTGAGCTGCTGGCACACTCCTCCTGAAATGTAGACATATTCGCAGTTCTGCTGTCAGCAGTGCAGTTCTCTGGCATTATTATGGCCCTTTTGTTTCAGTGCTGCTTGGAGAATGTCTGAGCTGCTATAGGCAGTGGCAGCGGTTTTGACAGAAGAGGGCTGGAATAGAGTCAGAGGCAGGCAAGGGTATAGAAGAGGCTCTATCACCTACATACACTGCAATTAAGAGTCTCTTGTTGGAGCAGGGGTGAGAGCATCTACATGCAAATGCTTCCCTGAACAGCTAGAAAGGCTGGAACTCACAACCTCAGCATGACTGGAGACTGATGAAAAACCTAGTTTAACACAAAGACTTCTCTTTTTTTTTTTTTTTTTTTTNTCTTTTTTTTTTTTTTTTTTTCCCCCTCCATTACTTTCATACAGAAATTTGTGGTATTGAAATAGAAATTTCTGGGACTCCAAAGTTCCACTTTCATCTGTAGCCTTTTCAGATCTTGAGCTAACGATCCAGCCAGACTGGATCGTTGTTTGTGTGAGCAAACTGTTGCAGCTTCCCTCGGTCAGACGCACATTGTGCAGAGAGGTCTCAGACTATTATCACTTCCCAATACCCACGTGTTGGGAGTGCTTTGTGTGCCAGTCCCATGCCACTCGCTGACCTTTGCAAGTCATAAGCAGATACCCACCAAGAAACTGTTATCTGGTCTTATGAATTGAYGTTGAAGAGGAGTATCATAAGTCTTTAGGAAGGAGTAACATCTGTGGAGATGAGGTTCTTGATAAAAAGGCTRCAGAAGGTAGCTTGGAAACCATCATCTCAGTGGGTGTATTTTTCCTTATTCTGAATCCTCTAGATTGTTTGTTTGGATCGTGCTTTTGCTCCATTTCAGGTGTGGAACTCAGCCCTCTTAGTGCTTCTGAAGACTGAAATTCTTGATCTTGCTCCTATGTGATGAGAGAGAGAAACAGGATGATACTGCAGTTTTTTTCTCATACTCTGATTGTGGAAGAAAAAAATACAGTTATATAACATATAAAGAGACATATTTTCCCTGTCATCCTTTTTACTTTTTCTAGAATTAAGTACACCTAGAACTAGCTGTTTTAGTGTGCTGAAATTTTATGTCTGTGGGTGATGTGAGAGTTAGTGCCTTTAATATGCCCTGTGCTTTGACTCTCAGCATTTCTCTTCGCATTTATATCAGAGTATAAATTGAAGAAAAAGCAGATATAAAGCAGGGTATGGTTTGCATACCTGGAAAGGAACAGAAAAAAAAGATGTGAACAAGAGAGGCGGACATATTGTGCCATATGAGAAGGAAAACCCTTGYGGAAATGTGGGAACAGCTCTGGGGAGCTGAGGTTACTGCTCACCTACCAGTGCTCCTTAATAGCCCCTGTGGGAAGGCACACGTCAGGTGTGCCACTGCAGCCTCCTTCTGCCTCCCCTGGGGCTCTTTGCACACATTTGAAATCTACAGTTGCACACAATTGAAATCTACACATGCAGCTTGTCCTAGATCCTGAGTCTGTGTTCTGATTGCTGTTTCTTTGTTCATGCATCAATTCTTATTGAACTGTTTCCGTTCCTTTTACCTTTGTGTTGTCACACACAAAGGTAAAAGGACAGCTGTCAGCTGTCCATGACTGGATGCTTTAGGAATGATGGAAACACGGATCATATGGAGACTTAGAATACACCTGATGGTTGTTYGTGATTGGTTGAGGTAGAAGGGTTGTAGCTGGTGATCGAGAACAAAAGTACTGTAGTAATATTGATAATTTATTGATGTCTTTATTGAAACTCAAGGCTAAGAGAGTAACTTCCAGTTGAAGATATGGTCCTCTTTATAAAATCCTCTGATTCAAGTGTTTTGTTCACTCTGAAATGATAGAATGGAAAAGATGCAACCCGTGAATTGAAATAATTTCCTTTGGAATTGGAGGGTCAGTAGATGCCTCACAGTCGCTAATGAATTAAAACAAGACACAGGATTTTTTTTCCCAGATAGAGACATCCTGTAACACATACTTAGCAGGAGGCAATATGGGAAAGCAAAGAACAAACTCCAAAGAGAGTTTGAATGCACAAGTTGAGGTAGTCAGAGTTTGATATTGGGAGATACTGAGTACCACTGTCTCATCTTTGTCCAGTAGAATTTTGTATAAGAGTATTTGGGGCTTAGATGTCTCATGTTGGTTACCCAAAGTCAAATGATAAATTAAAATGTGCTGGTTTCCATGCCCTTCCCAAGCTCTTGTAATGAGTCATTAAGAATGAAGCGCAGTTCTTAGCAGTCACAGTTCCCAGCTCTCATGCCAGACCACACCACTTCTGAGTCAAATAGGCATTTCTTAATCTCTTTTTGCTAATGGCTGTAGCTCTAAAGCAAGTAATTCAATAATAAAACTGGAAATGGCAGCCAGGAAATGCTGTCTGTCTCCACATGCTTTAACAATACTCCCCACAGAGCATTGCTGACCTTTTCATATCTGGTCTGTATCTGTTTATGAATCTGGAGTTTTAGAAATGGACATTTTTATTGGTGCCTTCAGGAGTTACATTCTTCTTGGATGTTTGCTCTAAATGTCTGGACGGATAGCTTTTTCTTTTTCTTCCTTTTCTCCTTTTTCTCCCTTTCTCCTTTTCTCTTTTGCTCTTTTTCTTTCACCTCCCAGATTGAAGGTAAACCCAAGAGATTGAGCAGAAAACATTTCTCCTCAGGAGTCTGTGCCTAGATATGTATGATCCCGACGGGCTGCAGAATACCTGTTTATTGATCATAGCCTGCTTCTGCTCTGGGTACCTTTTAGGTACTGTCACCGTATTATGTGGGGAATGTACCAATAGGT